AGTAAATCATTAATTAAAAAAAAATGCAAATTAACCAAAAGGGCACTTGAACCAACAGATATGAATCATACTACAAAATCACAAGTTCATAAAAACTCAAATCAAAAATAATGACTCCAAAGCATCATAATTCCCTCAAGAGTTCAACGCAAAGATACTGAAATAGGTAAAAATTTGGGTGAAGATTTCAAAAATGTACTCGTGAAATGACGAATTATCAAAAAGATTCAAAAAATTTTCATTCGAAGTTATGAGGAAGGCTAGTGATATATAAAAACAAATAAGCAAGATGGAAAAAACAATCAGAAACATGGCAGAAAAAGTAAGGTGAGGAGAAAGAACAATTGATATGCTGGGAATTAAAATTTTAATGCCTTATATAGAAAACAATAAAATGGAAGAAAGAATATCCTGAATCAAGGTTGAAGCAAAATAAATAAATAAATAAACAAAAACAAACAAATAAAACCCCACAGCATTAAAACATCAATAATTTGGTAATACACACACACACACATATATATATATTTCTAAATATATATGTATATATACATATATATGTATACATATACTAGTATATATATATATATATATATATATATATATATATGACAAGTGTCAAAGAATTTTAGCATATCTACGAAGTGTAAGATATAGAAGAGCTAAGATAAAACCTAAAGCCATACAGAACTCAACTCCAAAAGCAAATATATCAGAATGACTTGTGAATTCACATTCAGAATCTTAAAGAGCAGAAAAGCATGGAACAATATATTTCATCCTAATAAGTAATTGACAAATAAGTAGGTATGTAAACAAAAATTGTATTTATATTTGAGGGAGTAATAAGGACATTACAAGAAAATCACAAACTAAGGAAAAGACCATGACTGTTAAGACAGCACTACAGAAGATATTATAAAAATACTATATATATAGAAAGAAGAAAGGTGTCTGAATTGTGACAGCTCAGAAAAATGGTGATACCATGACCAGAATACATGGACACTGGGTAGCAGGAAAAGACATATCAGTATCTTATCCAGCCCTGCAAAACAGAAATAAAGGTGCACGGATGTTGGACTAGACTAAAAAACTACGTCTGTTTTCTCGAGAAACACACCAACTGGTAATGACATACACATGCCGAGAGTCAAATGATAGAAGCAAATCTACCAAGAGAATGGGGACACACCAAGCTGGCAGAGCTCTTCTGATGTCTGCTACAGAAGAATATAAATCAAAGCTGAGCCAAACTGATTAAGAAAGCAATATATGAAATGAGTCAACAAAAGTACAAATGCATACACCCCACACTTTGTGTTTAAATTAATAAAAAATAAACCAGCATAGAAAAGACATAGGTCCAATATGTCCTGATATAGCAGCATGGTATGGCTAGATCGTTTCCTCGGCTCTCATAGGCCAGAGTCAAGGTATTATCAAGGCTGCATTCTCATCGGCACACTCAATAAAATTTTCTTTCAAGACCAGTGAGGATTTTTCTTTCTCTTTTCATTTTGCTATAGGGTCTCCCTTGAAACTTAGTCAAAAGGTTGCGACTCTGAGAAAGTCCTGACTCAACTCAGGATGTCATGAGCAGAAGCCTGATCCTTCCTGTCCAATGGTTTTCACATTTGCTGACAGAGCATGCATTAAGAAAATCATCAAGGATGTGGAAGATTTCAAGACCACAATTAATCAGCATTTTCCATGATAAGTTGGCTGAACTATATTCTTAAACACAAAAAAATAAGTTCCAATTAAAATGTACAACCACGAAGGAAATCAATCTGGCACTTTCTCAGATAATTAGGAATGGTGTTGACTCAAACTCCAGCTATATCACTCTTAAGCACATATCTAAAATATGCTCAATTATACAAGGACATTTACTCAACCATGTTCATAGCATCTTTATTCATAATAACCAGAATCTGGAAACAACCCAGATATCCCTCAGCAGAGGAATGGATACAGGAATTGTGGTACATTTATACAATGGAATAACACTCAGCAATTAAAAACAATGAAATTTGCAGACAAATGGTGGGAACTAGAAAAGATCATCCTGAGTGAGATGTTGGTATAACTTTCTTTTGGAATGTATACAATTTACCCTTGTTCATTCAAATGCTGATTTCTCTATCCAACTATTTGTTTTCAATCTAGACATTGTATTGTGATGTTTATTCTAAGCATCACCTGTCTCAAGTTTGCATAAACATGTGACATCTCTTCACTGTATTTTCAAATAAATAACCAGCCAATGCTGTGCAATGAAGAAAATAGGATGGCACATCCTAGTCTGGAGGGGAGGAGAACAAAGTTAGAGGGAAGACTGGTAGAGTAAACAGGATAGGACTTGAAACCACAAGGAGAGTTGAACTGGACCTAAGGTATGACTCAAAGCAAGTGTAACAGGTGAAATTTGAGTGGTAGGAAACTTTGTAGGCTCGGATGTTTAATATGGAGTAACTATTGCCCAGCATTGTGCTCAAGATTAATTAAATAATTCTTACTCTCTTTGTGGTGATTTGGGTATACAGCAGGTTTAGAAATAACTGATGCTTCACTAAAAGAAAAATAAATAATAAATATTAAAAACCCACAATAAATGGAGCCCAACTAATCTATGTATCCACACCCTTTCAATCATACTTTAACATAATTTGCTGGGAGAAATAAGCTCTCAGCCATACAACCCAAACTTAAAATCTAAAAAACTCCCAGGCCAATTACTGTCTCTTTAAAAGAAACTATTAAACAGGCCCCTAAGCAAAAGACAGCCTATTGTGAGCAGACCTGAAACTTAACATAACGAAACTGGATGCCACTAAGATCTAATAGGTTACACAAGCCTGGCTTCCTTATACTGTGGCTGGCTCAGCTCAGCTCAGAGCAACAACAGCAGCCATGGATGCAAAGAAAGGAACTGGAGACAGACAAACCTCTAGAGAGAGCTTGGCCTCAAACTGCATCTAGAATATATGCCTCAGAGTGGTATTGCTAAATCTTGGGGTAGTACTATTCCTAATTGTCTGAGAAAGTGCTAGATTGATTTCCAAAGTGGTTGTACAAGTTTACATTCTCACCAGCAGTGGAGGAGGCTTCTCTTTTCTCCACATCCTCCCCAGTATGCATTGTCACTTGAGTGTTTTATGTTAACAATTCTAATGGGAGTAAGATGAAATCTTAGGGTCATTTTGATTTTCATTTCCCTGATGACTAAGGAAGTTGAGCATTTCTTTAAGTGTTTCTCTGCCATCTGATAATCCTCTATTGAGAATTCTATTTAGCTCTGTACCCCATTTTTAATTGGATTACTTCATTTGTTGCTGTTTACCTGCTCAAATATATAACAAGAACATTTTCTCAACCATGTTTGTAGCAACTTCATTTGTAATAACCAAGACCTGGAAACAACCGAGATACCCCTCAGCTGAGGAATGGATACAGAAAATTTGGTACATCTACACAATGGAATATTACACAACAATAAACAAAAGGAAATCATGAAACTTGCAAGTAAATGGTGGGCACTTGAAAAGATCATCCTGAGTGAGGTATCCCAGAAGCAGAAACACACAAAGGGTACATACTCACTCATAAGTGGATATTAGACATAAACATACTAAAATATGTACACCTAAAAACATCTAATCAAAGAGGACTTTGGCTAAGATACTCATTTCCCTTTCAGAAAGGCAAAGAGGATGGACATCAGAAGAGGGATGAAAGAGGGAACAGGAACGGGGCCTACCACAGAGGGCCTCTGAAAGGCTCTACCCTGCAGGGTATCAAGGCCAATGCTGAGACTTATAACCAAACTTTGGTCAGAGTGCAGGGAATATTATAAAATAAGTGGGAGATACTAAGACCTGGAGAGGACAGGAACTCCACAAGGACAGCAACAGATAGAAAAATGTCTGGCCACAGGGATCTTTTCTGAGACTGATACTCCATCCAAGGACCACATATGGAGATGGCCTGGAACCACTGCACAGAGGTAGCCTATAGATGTTCAGTATCCAAGTGGGTTCCATAGTAAGAGGAACAAGAACTTTCTCTGACAGGAATTGATTGGCTTGCTCTTTGATCAGGGAAGCAGCCTTACCAGGCCACAGAGGAAGACAATGCATTCACTCCTGATGAGACATGATAGACTAAGATCAGAGGGAAGGGGAGGAGGACCTCCCTTATCAGTGGACTGGGAGAGGGACACCAATGGGGAAGAAGAAAAGTGTGACTGAGAGGGGAGGATGGAGGGAGGTACATGGGATTCAAAAAGAATGAATTGTAATTAATAAAAATAATTAAATAAAAATGTTAAAAAATACTAAATGATTGAGGTATGGTATATGCTAATTATATATGCATACACACTTATTTTGAAACATCACAGAGAGTGTAACCTCATAAACTTGTCAATTTTATACCAACAGGTCTCTTTTATTTCCAAATGTCAATAAACATAATGGAAGAAATTCATGACATACCACTCCCTCACTGAAATTTCATTAGCATTAGGACTACAGTGGATGGTATATTTGGCATAATCTAGAATCATCTAGAAGATAAGCTTCTGGGCATACTTGTGAGATATCTATATGAAGGTTAGCCCCTGGGAATGTCTGAGAGGGATCATCTTGATTAGTTGAATTGACCTAAAAAAACCATTATAACTCTGGGCAAGACTGTTCCCAGCATGTGGATGTTGACTTCCATAAAATGGGGAAGTAGCCTGAGCTCTAGCATTCTGCACATTCTTCGTCTTAATTCTGTATGTGTTCTGAGCAGCTGCTGCATGCTCCTTCCAGTTTGTCTTCCACACTATACTAGGTTGTATGCTTGAACTGTGTTCCCAAACAAACCACATTCCTAAACAAGGAACAAAGTTTCCTTGACTTGCATTTTTAAGTGTAGTTTAACCCAACAAAGAGATTAGGGCCCATCCCTATTAACCTGAAAGTGGTATCTTCAGTCATGTGGTTCTTCAGGAAATGGAAGCTTGTCATATCTCCAGACAAGATGGAGAGGAATATTGGATTCTGCATCATTTTGACATCCCCGTTGAACCCTAAACTAAGAAGTGAGAAAGGTAAGATTAAATACAAACATTGATTTGTTCCCATGATTTTCTCTTGGCTTTTCCATGTGTAAGTAACTTCCTTTCTACCTTAGTTTCAAGGAAGCATAGACTTTACCAGGCACAAGGAGCCTTTAGGAGGCATTTACTCATCCTCCTCTTTCCACTGCCCATCTCTTCCTTAGTCAGAGGCTTCAGCAGCAGGTCTTTATATTTTCATGGATCTCCCTCTTTTTCCATCATGTCTATTTACTCAGAGGGCAGTTGTTGGGTAAAGGATCTAGGTTCAATTCCCAGCAGACATGGTAGGTGACAAAGATCCTTAACACCAGTTCCTCATCTGGCTTCTGAAGGCACCAGATTCATAATCGTGCACAGACATGGATCCCGGAAAAATAGTCATAATCTTAACAATGTTAAAAAGGAAACCCTCTCACCATCTCTATTTGTCTACCAGTATGCCATCCACAGCTATTGAAGCTGAAGGGTTGCTAATAGATTTATCTTCTCTACATCAAGAGGCAGGTGTCAAAGAACACTCAGCTCTGACAGGATACTTAAAGTTCTCTAACCTCATCCTCTCCTAGTGACTCCAACAATCTGTGCAGGCCCTCCAGAGGGAAGCAGTACCTATGCCTATAGGCTCCTAAAGCAGGACAGTTTTATGTTCATATCTGTCACTCTGGATAAGGCCCTCCTGTCTCTTGAATGCAGTAATAAACTTCTATATCATGAGGAATTATGCTCCTTATTTTAACTAAGAATAGTATGTCAATTTTTTTCCTTTTTTTTCTACTTTATTCTGCATTTGTTTTTTTTTTTTTAATTTTATTTTTCTTTTTAGTTACATTTTGTTAACTCTATGTCCCCGCTGTATCCCGCTCCCTCATTCCCTCCCCAACCCCACACTCCCTCCCTGGTCTCCTCCCTGCCCCTTTCCAAGTCCACTGATATGGAAGGACCTCCTCCCCTTTCATTTGACCCTGTTTTATAAGGTATCTTCAGGGCTGGCTGTAAAGTCCTCCTCCGTGACCTAACAGGACTGTTCCTCCCCTGGGGGTGGGGAGAGTCAAGGAGCCTGACCTTGAGATCCTGTTAGAAATAGTCCTTGTTCCCCTTACTTTGGAAAACTACTTTGTTACTGAGCTACCACGGGCCACATCCGAGCAGAAGTTCTAGATTATATCCATAGATGGTCCTTGGTTGAGTGTCAGTCTCAGAAAAAAACCCTGTGCCCAGATATATTTGGTCCTTGTAGAGCTCCTATCCTTTCCATATCATACCAACTCCCCTTTTTTCATATGATTCCCTGCACTCTGCCGAGGGTTAGGTTATGAGTCTTAGTGTCTGCTATGAAACACTGCTAGGTAGAGTCTTTCAGATGCCTTTTGTGGTAGACTCCTGTCATAAGTTCAATGCACATCCCATTTGTCTTTCTAAATGAGGATTAATCACCTTCGCCTGTGTCCACTTTCTTGATTAACTTCTTTAGGTGTGTAGATTTCATTATGTTTATCATATCTTGTAGGTCTATATAAGCGAGTATATACCAAGTTTGTCTTTCTCCTTCTGGGATACTTCACTCAGAATGATCTTTTCTAGATCCTACCACTTGCCTGCGAATTTCATGATTTCCTCCTTTTTGATTGCTGAGTAGTATTCCATTGTGTAAAAATATCACAATTTCTGTATCCATTCCTCCGTTGATGGACATCTGGGTTGTTTCCAAGTTCTGGCTATTACAAATAAAGCTGCTACGAACATGGTTGAACAAATGTCCTTGTTGTGTACTTGAGCAAATTTTGGGTATATACCTAGGAGTGGTATAGCTGGGTCTTGAGGTAGCACTACTCCTAGTTGTCTGAGAAAGCGCCAGATTGACTTCCAAAGTGGTTGAACCAGTTTACATTCCCACCAGCAATGGAGGAGGGTTCCCTTTTCTCCACAACCTCTCCAGCATGTGCTATCACTTGAGTTTTTCATCTTGGCCATTCTGATGGGTGTAAGGTGAAATCTCAGGGTCGTTTTAATTTGCATTTCCCTAATGGCTAATGAGTTTGAGCATTTCTTTAAGTGTTTCTCTGCCATTCAATGTTCCTCTTTCGAGAATTCTCTGTTTAGCTCTGTTCCCCATTTTTTTAAGTGGATTACTTGGTTTGTTGCTTTTCTGCTTCTTTAGTTCTTTATATATACTGGATATTAGCCCTCTGTCAGATAAAGGGTTGGTGAAGATTCTTTTCCAATCTGTAGGCTGTCAATTTGTTTTGATGACAGTGTCTTTTGCTTTACAGAAGCTTTTCAGTTTCATGAGGTCCCATTTATTGATTGTTGCTCTTAGAGCCTGGGCTGTTGGTGTTCTGTTCAGGAAGTTGTCTCCTGTGCCAATGAGTTCTAGGTTGTTCCCCACTTTTTTTTCAACTGATTTAGTGTATCTGGTTTTATGTTGAGGTCCTTTGTCCACTTTGACTTTAGTTTTGTGCAGGGTGATAAATATGGATCTATTTTCATTTTTATGCATGTAGACATCCAGTTGGTCCAGTACCATTTGTTGAAGATGCTGTCTTTTTTCCATTGAATTAATTTGGCTTCTTTGTCAAATATCGAGTATTCATAGGTGTGTGGGTTTATTTCTGGGTCTTCTATGCAGTTCCGTTGATCCTCCTTTCTGTTTTTATGCCAATACCATGCAGTTTTTATTACTGTTGCCCTGTAATACAGCTTAAGATCGGGAATGGAGATACCTCCAGATGATCTGTTGTTGTGCAGGATCGTTTTGGAGATTCTAGGTTTTTTGTTTCTCCATATGAAGCTGAGAATCTTTTTTTCAAGGTCTGTAAAGATTTGAGTTGGTATTTTGATGGGAATTGCATTGAATCTGTAGATTGCTTTTGGCAGTATGGCCATTTTCACAATGTAATCCTACCAATCCATGAGCACGGGAGATCTTTCCATCTTCTGAGATCTTCTTCGATTTCTTTCTTCAGAGACTTGAAGTTTTTCTCAAACAGGTCTTTCACTTGCTTGGTTACAGACACAAAGGTACTTTATGTTATTAGTGGCTATTGTGAAGGGTGTTGTTTCCCTAATTTCTTTCTCAGCCTTTTTGTCTTTGGTATACAGGAGGGCTTCTGACTTTTTTTTGAGTTGATTTTGTATCCTGCCACTTTGCTGAAGGTGTTTATCAGCTGAAGGAGTTCTCTGATTGAATTTTTGGGGTTGCTCATGTATACTATCATATCATCTGCAAATAGTGACAGTTTGACCTCTTCCTTTCCGATTAGTATCCCCTTGATCTCCTTTAGTTGTCTTATTGCTCTGGCTAGGTCTTCAAGTACTATGTTGAAGAGATATGGACACAATGGGCAGCCTTGTCTTTTCCCTGATTTCAGTGGGATTGATTTAAGTTTCTCTCCATTGAGTTTGATGTTAGCTATGGGCTTGCTGTATATTGCCTTTACTATCTTTAGGATGTGCCTTGTATCCCTGATCTCTCCAAGACTTTAAACATGAATGGGTGTTGGACTTTGTCAAATGCTTTTTCACCATCTAAGGAGATGATCATGTGGTTTTTCTCCTTCAGTTTGTTTATGTGGTGGATTTCATTGATGGATTTCCGTATGTTGAACCACCCTTGCATGCCTCGGATGAAGCCTACTTGGTCATGGTGGATGATATCTTTGATATGTTCTTGGATTCGGTTTGCAAGTATTTTATTGAGTATTTTTGCATCAATGTTCATAAGAGAGATAGGTCTGAAGTTCTCTTTCTTTTGTTAGATTTTTGTGTGGTTTAGGTATCAAGGTGACTATGGCTTCATAGAATGAGTTTGGTAGTGTTCCTTCTGTTTCTATTTTGTGGAATAGTTTGAGGAGAATTGGTGTTAGCACTTCTTTGAAGGTCTTGTAGAATTCTGCGCTGAAGCCATCTGGCCCAGGGCTTTTTTTGGAAGGGAGACTGTTAATGACTGCTTCAATTTCCTTGGGAGATATAGGGCTATTCAGTCTTTCTACCTGATCTTGACTTAATGTTGGTAGATGGAATCTGTCAAGAAAATTATCCATTTCATTTAGATTTTCAAATTTTGTGCCATATAGGTTTTTGTATTATGACCTAATAATTGTTTGTATTTCCTCAGTGTCTGTGGTTATGTCCCCATTTTCATTTCTGATTTTGCCTATTTGGATAGTTTCTCTCTGCTTTTTAGTTAGTTTGGCTAAGGGTTTGTCTATCTTGTTGATTTTCTCAAAGAACCAGCTTTTTGTTTCATTGATTCTTTGGATAGTTTTATTTGTTTCTAATTGATTGATTTCAGCCCTGAGTTTGATTATTTTCAGCCGTCTGCTCCTCTTGGGTGTATCTGCATCTTTTTTTCTAGGTTTTTCATTTGGGCCATTAAGTTGTTTGTATGTGATGTTACGAATTTCTTCTTGCAGGCACTTAATGCTATAAATTTTCCTCTGAGCACTGCTTTCAATGTGTCCCATAAATTTGGGTATGTTGTATCTTCTTTTTCATTGAATTCTAGGAAGTCTTTGATTTCTTTCTTTATTTCTTCCTTAACCCAGCTGTCATTGAGTAACAAGTTGTTCAGTTTCCATGTGGGTGTTGGCTTTTTGTTATTTCTGTTCTTGTTGAGGTCCAGCTTTAGTCCATGGTGGTCAGATAGTATACAAGGGAATATTTCAATCCTTTTGTATCTGTTGAGGCTTGCTTTGTGACCCACTATATGGTCTATTTTGGAGAAGGTTCCATGCAGTGCTGAAAAGAAGGTGTACTCTTTTGAGTTTGGGTGAAAAGATCTGTAGACGTCTATTAGGTCCATTTGATTTAGGAATTCTGTGAGTGCTTTTATTTCCCTATTTGGTGTCTGTCTAGTTGATCTGTTCCTTGGTGAGAGTGGAGTGTTGAAGTCTCCCACTATTAGGGTATTAGGATCAATGTATGATTTAAGCTTTAATAATGTTTCATTTACGAATGTCGGTGCTCTTGTATTTG